GAGAAAATTTAAAATAATTAATATATCGTTTAATAATACGTGTAAAAATAAAATAGAAAGCAACACAACAACACACACTTCATAAAAAATAATAAACATACATATTAATACAAATTAACATAATTTGGTAACGTGATCTTGATTTTAAAACTATAATTAATAATCAATTAAATTAAAGAGAAGAAAAAAAAAACATACATACATATGCTACATATAAATAAACATTTATCATTCAGGTTAGTAACATTGATGTAGAGAGTAATAGCTACTACATATTGATATAATAAATATATAAACATAAATACATATTTATTTTAAATATGTTTAATTATATTACAAAAAACAAACAACAACAAAAATCTAAATATATACAAATAACAAATCATTTTTGTTTTAGATATCAAAATTAATTTGTATTTATTCTAAGAAAACCACCTTAATCTTTTCACCTTGTTGTTTTAACTTCTCCCTCCCCCTCCTTCACATACTAAATGTTGTAAACTATTTTGTGTGTTTTTAAGCTCCAAGCTTTTGTCAAGCTTATTGATAAATTATTGATAATTTAAGTGCCACATTATTATCTCAATGAATTTCATTTACAAACACAAATTATTATAAATTTAACTCAATATTTTGTTATTTTAACATTTTTCCTAAACAGTTTAATTTATTTTTAATATTCATTTTTTTTTTTTGAAATCTGTTATGCTTCCGAGCCACATAACACCAATTAATAAATAAAATAAACGTATTATTAATTAATTAATAAACTTTTAATTCAAAGAAAACATAACGAAGTTATAAATAATATTTAAATAATTTTTAAAAAAGCAACTAAAACTAATTTTGACTGATTTATATTTTTTTAAATGTAAAATTTATTTGCCAATTAAATGGTGTTGAAATGAGCAAAAGAAAAATTAAGCATTAATTCTAATTGGGTTCAAAAGTTAAGTGAATTAAAACTAAACAAAGAAGATATGAAAAATAAACTGTGAAAATAACAAGAGATTTGCATAAATAATTTAAGTTAATCTAAATAAACGTTAAAAAAAAAAGATTCAAATAAAAAATTTTGTTTTAATTAATGGGAGTTAAAAGTATTCAATTAAAGGCGACAATTTTTTAAAATATCACCCTAAAAGAGAGTAATAGTTTCGGAAATATTTTATTAAAAAAGGCCTTTTTATACAAATTTGTATTAAAACGGAACTGTTTAAAAAATATTCTATTGAATGAGAAATTTTTGGAAAAAATTCTATTAAAGGAGACATTTATTTTTGCAAATTTTCTATAAAGTGACGTTGTTTGAATATATTCTAATGAAAAGATAAATTTTTCGAAAATTTTCTATAAAATGATACATTTTTCAGAAGTTTCTCATGACTGTGCATTGATCTATCTCGGTGTTGATCCCAAGATTATAGATTCAATGGGTGCGATGTTGGGGTCTTCGTTGACCCCTCTCTTTCGATTCGTCTGGTGCTTTTCAGCCTGTCAAGGTAGCATCCCAGCAGTTCGACGGGACAGTCCCGAACTGACCACTTAACCTACCACTTGTGGTGGCCCCTAGCCACCTGACTACCCAGGTGACCAACCATTTTAACATGGGCTTGTCCTACGAGGAAGTCAATCGTCACTTTACACCCTACAAAGATACAGTCAAGAGACGATTGCCTCCGCTCTCGCTTACAAAGGGGACACTAAAGTGACGACTGTCTTCATTCTCGTTTAAAAAGAGTTTATTTGTGACGAAAGACCAAAAACATATGAATTAGAGGTGGTAAGATATTAATGGAACTAAAATTTAAAAATTTCAAGTGTCTACTCTCTAGAATACTATGGGACAATAATGTGACGATTGACCCGAAAGATATAAATTTGAGTCAACCAGATGGTGCCACATTAGTAGAAAGTAACAATCATTTCTCCAAAAGATGGGTAAAATAGCTACTTTCGGAAGAACAAAAAAAAAAAAAAAAAACTTTTAAGAGTATAATCTCTAGGTTACTTGAGGGCAGTAAAGAGACGACTGTCTCCGCTCCCGCTTACAAAGAGGACACTAAAGTGACGACTGTCTTCATTCTCGATTACAAAGGGTACATTCGTGACGAATGACCCAAAACATACGAATTACGATCATCCAGGTGGTTAACTATTAGTGGAAATTACTGTCTTTTTCGTATGCATTGACTCTTTGTCGAACTGCTGGGATGCTACCAGTCTTTCCGCAACGTGATTACTTGGCAAGAGATTAGATAGCTTGAGCTCTTCAGCAAAGTGCTTGTGCATGGACCGGCTCAGCCATGTACAAAAATTGTCACCTGAGTGGTCGTTCTCTTTTCGGGAAGCTGCTCAGGGTCGTGTGGTGAACCGTCCCAAGTTCACTCAGTAGTTGAAAAAGACCACCGTGAAATAAGGTCGACAATAAGGCACTCGACATTCGTCTGTTCCCTATATTAAGGGCGGCTGGAAGGTACAATCTGATTCTGTCAGTCCGAATGTTCTTGGTTGAAACAAAATCCAGGATGTGTCTGACTCTTATTGAGCGGCATCGTGGTCTGCGTTTGACTCCAAAGGATCGACAGTATCCTTTTTCATACCTGTGGTAGAGGTATAAACTACTAATTCCCCCCATGAAATGTCAATTAATAAAGACGGCCCTATGTTCTTGGTCGAGGGTGCAAAAATCAGAGTAACCAAGGAAGGATTTGACGACAGTCTCTCAGGTCTGAAAGGATTAAACCTTTATGAGACTGATGAGTGCGCATGGTGTCCTCTGAGCCGCAAAAAGCGGAAAAAACGGATAGAACCCGGAGATAAACAAGAGACAGGACACAGAACAGGACGAACGGAAAAGGTGACGCTTTCTCCGGTATGTTAGATCGCTGGATCTAACATGCAACTCTGACCACCAGGGAAAAGCGTTTGCGGCGAAAACATACCTACCACATACAGAATTATGAAGCCAAGCTTAATACTACTGTTGTGGAGGTCAGGTCAGCCACGACTAAAACGGAACCAAACCAGAGCAGGCGTGTGGTCACATCTGAACATGTGCCCCATGTCAGCACTGGACCGAACACGATCACCGTCTCGGAGAATCTTGACGTACAGCTATCTTCATCAAAGAAGGCCACTTTGGGACCAAAGAGAGGTAATGACCAATGCAGCACGAAGAAGTCTATTAGCATAACAACCAAGGGACTGTCTGCAATTTTCTCTACTTTACACCAAGCAGGCCTAGTATAAAGCGGCAAAGGTCAGGTGAAACGCAGGTGTCTGAGGGTAAGCGGTTGAAACCATGAACTAGCTTAACATCAGCACCTGAGCTACAAGTAGCCATTATAGACCGTAGTCAACCCGATGGGAATATGACTACGGACAGATGGGCGCTTCCATCTGCTTTATGGAGAAGGAAGTTATCCACTTGGTCTTAATCCAAGAACAGTGGCTTGTAGCCAGTAAAGTTCGAGGCGTCCGGTCACGAAACTATGTGCTCCTTTCTCCAACCCCTGAAGGTAAAATAAGGAGCTATATTTTTCAGTCAGAAAAGACATTAATGTTTTTCTTCTATCTAATTACAGTGCTGGTAGTTACGACTCAGTAGATTATCTATCTAGGACTTTAAGAGAAGCCTAATATGCTTCATGTAGGGAGCGGCAGGTACCTAGGAAATTCCGGCAACCATGGTGGAACCCTAAACTAATGCAGCTAAGGAAAGAATGTATGAAACTAATTAATAATGCGAAGAGGGATCAAAACCAAGCAGAGACGATTATCGCCAAAGCTAGACAACACTTTCAAGAGGGAAACCTGCGAGCTAAGAAGGAATCTTGAAATCCTGGTGACCCTATCAAAATTGATAGATAACTGGGCTTTGAGTGAGACGGAACTTAGATGGTCAAATATCACCATTTGTAGAATATCGAGACTGCTATGGCCCACTCTGACAACGGATAAGACTAGGACTCTCTTGTCTCTTAGTAAGAACTCGATTAGACTTCTAACTGGTATAATTACTGGGCACTGTATGATAGGACATATGTCGGAACGTATGGGCTACCCACATAATACTTAGCTACTGCAGAAGCTGTTTGGACGAAGAAGCCTAGCCCAACCTTACAAGAGCACAGACTAATCTACCTTGGTAAAGACTATTTTAACTTGATAGAGCTACTTTATTAGTAATACTAGTCTAGCGACGAAATTCGACATAAACAGGTTTTATAGGAACAAAAATCTACTAAATTTGATGAAGATCACTCCATAGTTGACCCTACGGATTGGTTCATAATTGACCATATCTCCCACATAAGGACCCCATGAGAAAATGACTTTTAAGCTCATAATGGTCTTCAAACACAAGTAAAGCGATAAAATTTGTGAAAAATCAAGGTTATACACAGAGAAAACAGATTCGTTGTCACAACCGAATTTGATTCCTATAGGAATCAAAATATTTCTACCAAATTTTATAAGCATCGCTCCATAATTGACCCTAGCCCCCGATAACTGACTTTAAAATAAAAGTAGAGGAGTGGGGGAAAATTTGACAAAAATAAATTTTATCAGAACTAAATTCTCTCTATCACATTTTATGAGGATCGGTTCATAATTAACCCTCATACAACTCCTCTTATAGAAAATCTGTTTATTGTCAATAGATCAAACTTGCTTACCTTTTTATTGGGACCATTTCAAAATAAAACACTCATACTTTTAGTCGGCTTTCTGATTTTTATTTAGTTCAATATAGTTTTTTTTTTTTTTTTGTTTGATTAAGTTTTAATTTTACAATCAACTTATTTCGAAAAAGAAAATTAAAGTGTTAATTACACACATAAACAATAAATAATAGTTATATTATAAACGCTATTTATAATACACTTGAGACACCACCTAGGGGGTGTGTGGTAAGTGATTATACTATAAACAACGAATATTAATTGAATATATTAAGAAATATTAGATAAACGTCAAAATTAAGAAATTATTTAAAGTCATAGTTTGGTAATAGATAGAGAAGAATTGGTAGGTTTTTTTTTTGGGTGGCTTTAATGTTTGTTTTTTCTATTTTCTTTTGACAATAAACTTATTTGAAGCCAAATTAAAATTTAAAATTACTGCAATTGGCATCCTCTCTCTGTATATAGTGAATTGCATGATGTTAAAATAATTTCAAATTAAAAATTGGCAAAAAATGAGTAAATTGTAAAAAGGAATCGAAAGAAACTAAACATTTAGCTAAAGATAGTATTTGACACATAATGCATCTTCTTATGGCAAAAGAAGATTTATATGATTTATTGATATCTTAGGATTGTATTTTTATTAAGACATTATGTATTAAATACTAAACGTTTAAAGTCGTTTTTTAATTTTCTATATAATATTATTAATATTATTATTATTATTATTATTAATTGTTTTTTGTTGTTTTACATATAAAAAAATTGGCGCATTTCTCTTGTTGGGATCTTAAGACGAATACTCTCACGTTTCTCTTTTTTCTATAGTTTCTAAATAATGTATTTAAATATTTATAACAATTTATTTTAATTTGTATTGAGCATTAATATTTTTTTTTTAATATTTTTTTTTAAAGCTTTAAAGGTTAATATAATCGTTTGAATAAGTAATTATTTTAAAACATTTAAAAGTTACACAAATAAATATATTAAACATTTTACATAAATATTTATTTGTGTTCGTTAATTGTGGGGTTAGCTAAAACTTATTTAACATATAAGAAGAAAAAATTAGTTTTATTTTGATCGTTAAAATATTTATAAATTTCTATAACTACTTAAGCCTTTAGTTTAAGTAGTTTTCAAACGTTTCTTTTTTTAATATTATAATAAAATTCAATATTTTTTTTTTTATATTTTATAAATAATTTCTTGTTGAGCAACATTTTTATATAATAAATTATTATTATTTTCTTTATAAGAATACAAAATATTTGCTGTGGAAGTGATGTTATATTTCCTTTGAAAAAACCTGATTACAAAAACTAAAGCCATATTTTGTATTCTTAAATTTTTATACATTTTTTTTTAAGTTAAGTTAAGCCTTAAAACTAGGAAGTGCATACATTTGTTTTCTGAAATTTTATCTAAATTGTAATTTTCTTTAATTTGTTTTTCATTGTTTTTCTTTAAAGTTAGTTCTTTCGTTAGGTTATTAGTAAAATTTTTATCGTTAAGTTTTTTTTTTCTTAAACATTATGGCTAAATCATTTCCTTAGTTTGCAGTGGGGTTTCCGTCATCTTTCTGTTTTTTTTTTTTAAATTTGTAGTTCCTATTACTATTGCTAATAAAAGTGGCCAGTTTAATTAATCATGTGTTGTGTGCCTGGAGGAACCTTATAGCTGGGGTAGTGATGACTCAAAGCATTCTTGGCAAAGAATGAGGTGTAGTCCTGTTTAATTAAAAAAATAATTATATTAACAGTTTGCCTTTTAAGAGAAAATTGACAAAATTATTAAACGAAAAATTTTTCTTTTAATAGAATATTTTCGAAAAAAACTATTTTGAATAAAAACTTTTCGAAAAATAATCTTTCAATAGAAAAATTTCCGAAAATAGACATTTTTGGCAAAATTTCTCTTTTAATATAAAATTTTTGGAATATTTCTCTTTTAATTGAAAAATAAATTCTCAAAATTTCTCTTTTAATTGAAAAATTTTGCAAATTTTGTCTTTCAATAGAAAAATTTTGAAAATGTCTCTTTTAATAGAAATTTTTCCTATTTTTGATAGACAAATTTCGAAAAATTTCTCTTAGAAATAGAAATATTTTGAGAAAATTTCTCATTTAATATAAAATTTTCAGAATATTTCTCTTTTAATTGAAAAAAATTCTCAAAATTTCTCTTAGAAATATAAAATTTTCGGAATATTTCTCTTTCAATTTTCTAAAATTTCACTCTTAATTGAAATCTTTCGCAGAATTTGTCTTTGAATAGAAAATTTTGTGAAAATGTCTCAATTTTGTGAAAATGTCTCAATAGAAAATTTTCTTTTAAAAAAAAATTTTAAATTCTCGCAAAATTTCTATTTTTATAGAAAGTTTTAAGAAAATTTCCTAATATTCTATAGAAAATTTCTCTTTTTTATATAAAATTTTAGAAAATTTTCAACTTTTTATAAAATTTTTTCAGAAAATTTGTATTTTTCATGGAAAATTTTTTGAAAATGTATATTTTTTAAAGAAAAATTTCTCTTTTTAAAGAAAACTTATAAAAAAATTTCTTTAAAAAAAAATTTTCTGAAAAAAATTTCTTTTTATAGAAGTTTTATCCTTTTCATAGAAATATTTTGGAAAATTTATCTTTTTCATAGAAAATTTCTCTTTTCTATAGAAAATTTTAGGATCATTCTACTTTTCATAGAAAACTTTCGAAAAGTTTCGATTTTTTTAATAGAAAAATTTCAAAAAATTTCTCTTTTAATAGAAAAAGATTCTGTAATTTTCTCCTTTATATAGAAAATTTCTCCCATTTATAAAGAAATCTTTCATTTCACACTTTTTTAAAAAGAATTGTCGAAAATTTTAGTTTTTTACTAAAAATCGTAAGAAAATTTAACTTTTTTATACAAAATTTTAAGAAAATATCACTTTTTACAAAATTTTTTTCAGAAAATTTCTCCTTTTTATAGAAAATTTTCGGAAATATTTTCTTTTATATTAAATTTTTCGGATAATTTCTCTCCTTATAGAAAATTTTCGGAAAATGTACCTTTTTTTATAGAAAACTTTAGGAAAATTTCTCTTTTATATAAAAATTTTCGGAAAGTTTCTCTTTTATATAAAATTTTCGGTATATTTTTTAATAGAAAATGTTTCTTTGTATAGAATTTTTTTCCGGAAATTTCTCTTTTAATAGAAAATTTTTGGAAAATTTATAATTTTTATAGAACATTTTTCTTTTCTATAGAAAATTTTAAGAAAATTTATCCTTTTTATAGAAAATCTTCGGAAAATTTCTATTTATTATAGAAAACTTTCGGAAATATTCTCTTTTATATAGAAAATTTTTGGGAAATTTCACTTTTATATTGAAATTCTTCGGGAAATTTGTCTTTTCTATAGAAAATTTTAGACAAATTTCTTCTTTTCATAAAAAAATTTCGGAAAATCTTTTTTTTATAGAATTTATATATAAAATTTTTTAAGAAAATTTTTGAAAATTTTAGAAAAAATTCTCTTTTACGGAAAATGTCTAATTTTTATAGAAAAATTTCGGAATTATTCTCTTTTATATAGAAATTTATTTGGGAAATTTACATTTTATATTGAAATTTTTCGGGAAATTTCTCTTTTCTGTAGAAAATTTCTTCTTTTTACAAAAATTTTTCGGAAAGTCTTTCTTTTTATAGAAAATTTTTGGAAATTTTCTCTTTTGTATAAAAAATTTTCGGAAAATTTCTCTTTTATATAGAAATTTTCGAAATATTTCCTTTTTCCATAGAATTTTTCAGGAAAATTTGTTAGAAACTTTTGGAAAAATCTCATTTATAAAAAAAAATTTAAAAAAATGTCCTTTTTTATAAAAACAAATTCGGAAAATTTCTCTTTTTTTAAAAAATGTTCAACAAAATTTTCTTTGTCATAAAAATTTGTAGGAAAACTCTTTTTTTTATAGAAAATTTTCCGAAATTGTCTCTTTTTTTATAGAAAATTTCTCTTCAAATAAAAAATCGTAAATAAATTATTTTTAAATCACTTACGCGATTGACTTTTCTTGGCCTGCATACTGGGCCCAAGGCCAATTTGCGACGTTCCTCATTTTCTTTGGCAGCAGCCTCTTTGTATTCTGGTGGTGGCCACTTCAAGTCTCCACGCATGCTGGAGCCGCCTAACGAGTCGGTGGAAGATTCTTTAAATTAATGTATAGCAGGGGCAAACGGGGTATTTGTGTTCAATAATACTTACCTCTATAGCTAGTAGCTGCGGGCTGAGATGCGTAAACGGGTGCTGGTTTTTGGGTAATTGGTGCCTCTTTGCGCAAAGTTATAATACCAGGGCTGGCGCCACGTTGTTCCTGTGGCAATTGGGGTTGGTAATGTTGCTGCTGATCGACCTGATCGTGAGACACGGTGTGCTGTTGTTGTTGGGGCTGTGAATAAGAATTAAATTGTTGTTGATTGGTTTGTGGTACAAATTGATTTTGTTGTTGTTGTTGATGATGAGGTGCTTGATTATATTGATTTATGGATGGATTTTGATATTGAGGTTGTTGGTGCTGCTGTTGAGGTTGTTGTTGTTGTTGCACCCATGGTGGTTGCTGATATTGTTGTTGTGGCTGTTGTTGAGCCCAAGCAGGTTGGCCAGGTTGTTGATATTGTTGTTGAGGGGGTTGCTGATATTGCGATCCCACATGAGGTTGTTGTTGATATTGATTTTGTGCTGGAGCCTGAGCTTGATACTGAGGTTGTGGGGGATATTGTTGTTGTGCTTGATGTTGTGGAGGTTGTTGATATTGCTGATGTTGTTGGTTATCATAGGATGGTGCACGATATTGTTGCTATATATCGTTTATAGGGCCACAATTATCAAGTTTACATGCAGGTTTTGTTTATATTTTTCCACGTACACATTTTTCATATGTCAGGGTGCAGTTTTTTGTTTGTTTTTGTTGATGGGATGTTGGTGGTTTTAAGTAACAGATAGAATGGGGAGACAACAAATATATGTATGGGAAAGAGAGAGAGAAAAAAGACAAGACCAGACAGTGATTAGTTTTGTGTGTTTTAGGAGTTAATGTTGGGTTAGGTATTATTATAATATAGAGACATTAGGTTTAAGTTTAGTGTTATGGTTATCATTTAAGCGCGCTGTAATGGCTGAAATTTTTAGAAGAAAATAAAAGCAAATTTGTTTTTAGTTTTATTAATAAAGCAGTTTATTTATTATTAATTATTAATTATTTTTTAAGCCTTATGTTTAAATATTTACATGTATTTACAGTTATGGAGAATAGATAACAGAGTATATAGTGGGGCTAACAAAAATACATAGAATTAAATGGCACTTCAAATCATAATTGATTTGAGTCCGGGACCATGTTTTAGAATATTAAATTACATTTTACATAAAATATAGAACAAATTGTAATTAAAACATTTTGGACTCCAAATCTTTATAAAAATATGAAATATCTTTTCTAGTTCAAGTTAAGATGGCAACAAACTGAAACTAAATTCGTGACCTAAACCCTTAATTTTTCAATTGAAAGAGAAATTCTGAAAACTTTTCAATTACAAAATATATATTTTGGAAAATTTCAATTAAAAGAGAAATTTTGAAAAATTTTAAAAAATGTTCTATCAAAAGAGACATTTTTGAAAATGTTCAATAAAAAGAGAAAATTTTCCAAACATTTTCTATTAAAAAAGAGAAACTTTACAGAAAATGTTTTCTAAAGAAAGATATATTTCCAAACAAATTTCTATAAAAAGTGAAATATTTTGAAAATTTTCTATAAAAGAGAAATTTTTCAAATATTTTCTATTAAAAAAGAGAAAATTTCCAGAAAATGTTTTATGAAAAAGAAATTTTTTCAAAAATGTCTCTTTTTTTAAAAGAGAAAATACTAAAATCTCCATAATTAGGTATTATCTCGTACTTTAGTAGTTAAATTATACAAAAGCTGCTTAAGTTCAAAGGTTAATAAAGCAGTTTAAAAAGGCTTTTTTTACATATTCTACAACTAAAACTTTTAAAAATTCTCCTACTTAATAAAAAGAAACCTCATTATTATAACAAAATCCTTTGAAAACTGTTCTGAGTCTAAAAAGCTTTCTTCTTAGCAAACTAAAAGTTTGACAAAAGCACAGTAATACTAACACTATTTTAAAAAAAGCTTTTAAAAAGCTACAGTTGTGCTAAAAACAACTTTAAAATACTTAAAAAGCTTTTATTTTTATCTGGTAGAGAAATTAGCTACACATATTTTTCCGTTAAGCTTTTTTAAGAACTTTTTTGTTGTAAAAGCTTAACAGTAAAATCAAAGCTGCCAATAGTTTTTTTTTTGTATAGAATTCTCAGCTAATTGGCAGTACCTGTTGGTGATAATTTTGATATTGTTGTTGATAAATAGGAGTAGCTACAGAGGGAGTAGTTTCTCTAACACCATAGGCACTGGTAAATAAAGTTTCAGGCTTAGCCTGAGGTGGACGTATGGGTTTCCAACCAGGAAGGGTTTGTTGTTGATGATGTTGCTCTTCCTGGTGTGGATAATGGGGTTGCTGTTGTTGTTGCTGGGGATAAGCAACATTTTGTGGATTAGGTTGATATTGTTGTGGTGGTTGTTGCTGTTGATGGTGTGGATAGTTTTGTTGATTATATAAAGGTTGTTGGTATTGAGGTTGTTCCTGGTGATAGTTTTGTTGTTGCTGTTGTGGGATGTGAGGTGGTTGGTATTGTTGTTCCTGATGGTGTTGTTGTTGGTGATGTTGATAAGGTACACTATTAGGTTCATGAGATGGTAGTCTACTGAATTGTTTGTCTTTCAATATAATTGGGGTTTCAGGGGTTTGTGGGGGAAACGCTTCATAATCAGTTTGATTTTGAGTTTGTTTATAAGGTGAATTATTTTCACGAGCAAAATTATTATTATTATTAGTATTATTATAATTTATGGGTGCTTGGTGTTGTTGTACATTATTGTAATAATTGGGATCCTGTAAATGTTAAGGTTAATGTAAATTTGTGAGTGTGTGTAAGTTAAGAAAACGTTTATAAGTGCAAAAAAGGAAACTACTATTAAGGATTTTTCCTAAAACTTTATATAATTGTTGCAAAACTATTCGCATAAATGTCATAACTACATATTTATTTAAATCCCTTTATATTTTATATTTATGATGTGTTTTTTTAAATGTTTAGCTTTTAAAATTAAATAATTATATACCTAACTATTCATGTTATTTTAAATGTGTGTATGTTTATTTATTCTTAATATTTAATTTTATTATTTACGAAATAAACTTTTAAATAATGCGGCTTTCATGTCTGGGTCATTGTGGTATTTACCACGCTACATATTTTTGTATTTTAAAACATTTTTTTTTCATAGTTTTTTTATGCTTTAAAGCACGCAAATTGTAAACAATCTTAATAATTATATGCTCTGCAAACAATTATAATTTAAATCAATGTTGGCAAAATTTATATTGTTTAATAAAAAAATTTAAGTAAAATTTTATATATTTTTTAAAAAAGAAATTTTCAAAAATTTTTCATAAAATGCAAACATGTTTTTCAATATTTTTCTCTTGAAATATTTGCAAAAAATAAGTTCTATTAAAAGAAAAATTTTCTTAAAAAATATATTTAAAAAAAAAGAAAAAATTTTTAAATATTTGAGATAAAATTATATAAAATAAAAGTAGAAATGTTCGAAGATTTTCTACAACGATAAAAAAGGTTCGATAATATTCTATAAAAAGAAAAATATATTTGAAAATTTTCTATAAAATTATAAATTTTGGAAAATTTTTCAATAAAAAGAGATATTTTCGAAATATTTTCTTTATATAGAGAAATTTTGAAGGAAATTTTAAAAAATTTTATAACAACAGAAATGTTTAGAAAATTTTATAAAGCAGAAATCTTCAGAAAATTTTCTATAAAATCAGAAATTTTCAGAAAATTTTCTATAAAATCAGAAATTTCTATGAAAACAGAACTTTTCAGAACCTTTTCTATAAAATCAGAAATTTTAAGAAAATTTTTTATAAAAAAGAGAATTTTTCGGAAAATTATCTATAAAAACAAAAATTTTCAGAACATTTTCTATAAAAAAAATTTTAGAATTTTTTCTATAAAATCAGAAATTTTCAGAAAATTTTCTCTGAAAAGAAATTTTCTATAAAAACAGAAATTTTCAGAAAATCTATTATAGAAAAGAGACATTTTTAGAAAACTATCTAAAAAACAAAAATTTTTAGAATTTTTTTTTATAAAAAAGATAAATTTTTCATTAAAAAGACTAATTTTTCTATTAAAAAGACGAATTTTCAGAAAATTTTCCATTAAAAAGAGAAATTTTCAGAAAATGTTCCATTAAAAAGAGAAATTTTTCTGAAAATTTTCTGTGAAAAGAACTTTTTCCATAGAAACAGAAATTTTCAGAAAATCTTTATAAAAAAGGGAATTTTTCAGAAAATTATTTATAAAAACAAAAATTTTCTGAAACTTTTTTTTTATAAAAAAAAAATTCTATTAAAAAAAGTAATTTTTCTATTAAAAAGAGAAATTTTCAGAAAATTTTTTAATTAAGAAAAGAAATTTTCAGAAAATTTTTTATTAAAAAGAGAAATTTTCAGAAAATTTTCTATTAAAAAGGGAAAGGTTCAGAAAATTTTCTACAAAAGGGACATTTTTCTGTTAAAAAGAGAAATTTTCAGAAAATTCTCTATTAAAAAGAGAAAGTTTCAGAAAATTTTCTATTAATAAGAAACATTTTCAGAAACTTTTCTATTAAAAAGAGAAAATTTTTCTTAAAAAGGGAAAATTTCAGAAAATTTCCTACTATAGTATAAAAAAGAGAAATTTTCAGAAAATTATAAAAATGAGAAATTTTTTAGAGAATTTTCTATAAAAAGGACATTTTTGGAAATTTTTCTAAAAAAATAGAAATTTTTAAATATTTTCTATTAGAAGAGAATTTTTTGAAAATTTTCTGTTTTCTTAAAAAGGGAAATCTTGAAAATTTTCTATTAGAAGGTAAATTTTTAAAAAATCTTAATGAAAAAATAATTATCCGAAAATATTCCATGAAAAAGAGAAATTTTAGAAAATTCTAAAATTAGTATTAAAGAAAAAAATTAAAAAAAGAGAAAATTTTTGAAAACTTTCTATTAAAAGAGAAATTTTTATAAATTTTTTATTAAAAAAGAAGTTCTTGTATAAAAAGAGAAAAAAAGTTCGAAAATTCACAAAAAAAGAGAAAATTTCAAAATTGTTCTATATAGAGGGATTTTCGAAAATTTTCTTTATTCTTGTTCTTTATAGAGAATTCTAAATAGAATATTTCTATAAACAAAGAAAAAAATTTGTTCTATAAAAATTTATTGAATGAATAAAATCGTTATTTCAAATTTACGAAATGTATTGATTTGATTTAATCTATTTATAATCATTTGATTTGATCAACCACCTACAAAACTACTTTCCTTTATACATTTCCTAAATACATTAAATAAATTGATTGACATAGATAAAACTAATTTAATAGTTTTCTATTACAAAAGTCTTGTTATTATAAACAATATCTTTTAAAATGATATGAAAAAAAAGAACAACCAAATACTGTTTAATGCAAATGCGACAAATGTCAACCATAAACTAGATTATTTCTTATGTTTATTTCTCACGCTGTTAAAAAAATACTTGTAGAAAAAAAAAAAACACAAATAAGTAAAACAAAGAAAATGCATTTTGAAAATATTGTAGATTTACAACAAATCTCAACTAAATATGTTTGTAATAATAATCATAAGCTAAAAAAAGAAAACGAAAAGATCAAAAATACAACAATCTGATAGACCATTAAAGAAATTGTTGTTATTGTTCAAAAATTAAGTTAATTTGCAATCGCGTGCAACATGAAACAATAAAGCCTATAACACTAATAAACAAACACACTTATGTATGTATGTTACGTATGTATGTATTTATTATGTGTATGTCTGTATATTGTAAGAAAAAGTGACTTGTATGTTTTTTTTTTGCTACGAAATTATGAAAACGTCGAAAAAAAAACTTTCTAAAAACAAACGAATTTAGATATTTTGTACTTGTATGAGTATGTTGGTTTATAACGGTAACATACCAAGATGTTTAAAATCTCATACTGTTGTTAGTGGTTTGCCACTTAAACGAAAAAAAAATAACTGAATAAATAGAACATGTAGTTTACACTCATAGCAATAGTTAGCTGGAAAAATATTAAACAATTTTAAATTTTATACGTATGAGTTATATTCAATTTGAAATTCAAATGTTGACGCTTCACTATTATTAGAATTGTCAGAGGAAAACTGAAAATCCATTTATAGCTTATGTTTATATGAAAAATTTCATATTCAAATTGATATTTATTCTATGTGCTATGTTTTATGGGTTTCATACAGAACGTATACTTAATATTTAATTTAAATGACATTTCGAAACACTCATACGTAACCAATCATGAAAGTATTATACAGTGGGATAAATTTCAACAAAAATTTAAATAATTTAAATACATTTAGGCAGATAAGCCCTTTCACTTAATGGAAAGAATTAAAGAAATTTTTTCTATTTATAGAAAATTTTTGGAAAAAATTTTTTCCTGAAAATTTACATACCCTGCAGGAAATGAAGCGATAATTGTCTAAAAGCCACTAGTACTATTACTAGTACAGCAGACACTAGTACAAAAGAGGTTAGAGTTTTTATGGAAATATACTAGTACTAGAAGTAGTTAAAAGAGCACCACTTGCAGACCAATTTTTATTTGACATGTGTTGGAAAAAATAAATTATTGAAATTATTAAAATATAATTCTCAAACATTTTGCATAAAATAAAGGAAATTTACAAACATTTCCTTTTAAATTAGAGGATAAATAGTGAATGACAGTTTAGGTATACTTGGATACAGAGCCCCATGTAAGTACGTCTGTTAAATTTTAAAATTGCAATGAGTTTCATATGTACATACATATGTATGTATGTACTTATTTTATCGCAAATGTATTTAAGGCAATACCTGAATGCAATTTGGTGGACATTATATGTATAACCCACGATATCAAAGTTGGTGGGGCGGATAGAAACCAGAATTTCTTCAAACTTGTATAAATGTACATACATATTTATAAAAGTTTTTATTTGAATTGAATTTTTATAAACAAAACAATATAAAAACTAATTTTGTAGTAATTTTTACTTGGAACTTAGCAGAGGATTACAAAGGAGCGAAATCACCAATTACGGTGACTTTTTGTGAACATTAGAACTAGTAATAAACTGGTTCTAAAGGACCCAATTGGGTCCAAGTGTACTAGTATAAGTCCAGAACTAATGGTACTAGTAATTTTTCAAGCACACTCAATGTTAATTTGAGCATTAAGATGGTATAGGAGAGTTTACAGTTGGGAACTAGTACTGGTGATTTTGGTACTAGTAAAGTACTAGTTTGGAACTAGTTCCATTTCCTGCAGGGTATGTAGAAAATTTTCTTTTATATTAGAAAACTTTCGAAAAATTTGTTATTTTATGTAAATTTTTGGGAAAAGTTATAGAAAAATAGAAAATTTTCGGAAATTTTCTATTTTTATAGAAAATTCTTATTTTTATAGAAAATTTCTATTTTTATAGAAAATTTCTATTTTTATAGAAAATTTCTATTTTTATAGAAAATTTTGGGAAAATTTCTGTTTCAATAGAAAATTTTGTTAAAATTTCTGTTTCAATAGAAAATTTTCAGAAAATTTTAACAGAAAATTTCTGTTTCAATAGAAAATTTTGGGAAAATTTCTATTTCAATAGAAAATTTTGGAAAAATTTCTATTTCAATAGAAAATTTTGGGAAAATTTCTATTTCAATAGAAAATTTTGGGAAAATTTCTATTTTTATAGAAAATTTTCGGAAAACTTCTATATTTATAGAAAATTTTAGGAAAACTTCTATT